TTTCGAATCTCTTCACCCAACACTTTCACTCGAAATGGAAATAAGCTCAACAATAGCCTCATTAATCGAAGCTTGTTCTAGCTACATACTAATATAAAGACGGTATTTACATCTACCTTAAATCTTTAAGTGTCAGTCACAATGGCATTTGTACTCGAATGACACTTGACATGGAGCAAACTAAAAACACTATCTGGGGATATGAGCTCACTTTTAATGAGTAGTTTGTGATGTGAGAGACCGTTATCAGACTTGATTACAATGAAGCGAGGCAAATTAATTTTTTTTAATACTTCCATTCCGATTTTTCCCTAAAAAGGCAATTTCATTAAGAAGGAATAGAAATTTTAGCCTCGATCAGACCTCGACAGCCCAACTAAATTCTAAATCAATTTGTGCACATCAAATAGCCACACTGAACTGCTCGGTAACAATGCACAAAAATCGGTAAATCACTGATCATGTGAGGATTTCAAGGCAAAATTGGCTTCTTAAAACTTGCATTTGTGGTAACACCAGTTCCAGCGAGGTGCTAATGAGTCTTTGATGACTCCAGGGACCTAATAAAAGCTTCCGAGCAGCAACAAGTCGTTACTTTACACGGACCCTCGGGGCTCGATTTAAATTCGAATGGTTGGTGACAAAGTAAAACCTGCAGCCCATCTTGGACGAGAACGTTTTCTGTGACACATGGGAGAAGGAAATTAAAGCTATGATGTTTCAATTATAATACATCACAGTTTGTGTAAGCTTAAATGTATTTGACTAAGTTATTGCCGATCATTTTTGTCCAAAGATGTATTTCAGTACAAATGGAAAGCAATGATAATAAAATACAAGGCAAGTGAGGTCAATCTTATAAGAATACCTCATTAAAAACTAGTTAATTAGCTATTTATTTAATGTTTTAATGCAAAATCAACCAAGTATATGTACAATGTTCTCAGCCATACCGATTGTCAACCATTGACTCTTTTTATCCTTTAAATCACCCCAAGTTCAAAATAAATATATTACAAACACTTGTTCTATTATTGCTCACTGACCTAGATAAGACGAATTAAAATGGGAAATGTCAACATTCCACAATCCAATGAACAAGATCTTGGGTAAAATCGAATTTTATTCTTTGTATATCGTTTAATACTAGCACAGACACAATTGACGCTCGATTATATGGTAAGCACATAAAAGATTTTTTATTTATTAAAACTGTATGTAATGATCTGTCACACCCTAAGCCTCTTTTTATATCTCAGATCACAGGTAAATCTAAAGTTCTAGCGTTAATCACTCTCTTTAGTTGGGCGTCATTTGTCGATATATTTATTGTCAAACCAAGCGTGCTATTCCTCTTATATTACAATCTACTCGCATTATGTGCTTAATGATTTAAAATGAAGTGGGCAATATCATTCATAGCAAGTCTAACATAAATAATAATAAGCCTCTGCCATGAACAAAACGTTATCTGGTTTAAACCTAATGCATACTCATATGAAGGGAAACATATTCTAAAATATAGTATTTGTAAGAATAAAATATTTTGGTAACTTAAACGCACCCGCTCTGCAAAGCACCGGCAAATTTGCCTCTATGGTATTGTCTATGGTGCCAATAGTGGAGGTGGTGATCATGGTAGTGATGATGGTGGCTGCGATGGCCTGGGTTGGCATCTTGGGGAATTTCATGATAAGAGGGTTGATGTGGTGGGACCGGAGAGCAGGCCACTTGTGGGAATTCAACGAATTGAAAGCCTCTTATGTGTCCCGAATGAGTATTTGGCGGACGTCCACAAACAGCTGGAGTCACCAGGGTTTCGTGGGCGATCAGCTCCGGTCTCATGTGGGCAGAACGATTAGGGATTAATGCCTGTTCCAGTACTCTAGTCGGCAGTTCGTTCCACTCGATAGAGGGTTCTGAGTCACCGGTTCTTCGCTGTCCGTGCCGATGTGGAGAATGATTGTTGTGATTAGTGGGCAAGAATAATGAAGGGGAAAAATGAGGGGAGCGAGGTGGTTGAGGGGGAGAAGGAGGCGGGGGAGGAGGAGAAAGAAGTGGATGGTGGCTGTGATGATGGTAATTCTTCTTCTGTTGATGCTGCTGTTGGCGCTCAAGCCAAATTCTCAAAAGGTTTCCAGACCTGAAGTCAGACGTGGCGACACAGGGCTCCACAAAACCAGGATCGCCGATAGCAGAAACGCGATTGGCAGAGCACATGGGTCGGCGGAAACTCTTTATCTTTCGGCTGGTAGGCGAGGTAAAAGAGGGCATGGACTTCACACCAGAAACAACATTACGGCCCTGGAGACCTGAGGAAGCTGCAGTTATAGAGGTTGTGGGAATGTTGGTGATGGTAAGTGTAGGCGGTATGTGAAAACCATTATTTACCGGACAGGCCTGTGTGCATTCTTCACCGTCTGTAAGCAAGAAGCAGAGGAGAGGAAAGAATCAAAATGGAGATAAAAAACAACATATTTAAGGTCACCAGCTACTAAAAAAGCTGCTAAAAGCATTCAACTTTTGTTTTGAATCCATATTTATGGAATGAATGAAAGAGGAAATACATTATGAAAAGTAAAGTGGAGATAAAGATGGGATCGCATTCAATAGTATTGTTATATCACGTTATTTAGGTAGCATGGCCAAGTCCAATGAAGAAGCTTTTCAATCACTGCTTGAGTCTTGATCTGGTTATGTTTCGAATAGCTTTTCAAATGCGATGCTATAGTCTGATTATAAGAAATGCTTAGTGTTAGTAGTTTTGAGGTATAGAATGCTACTAACTGTATGAATTTGTCTTGAGGCTGAACATAAATATTTTAAGCTAGACGCAGAGCATTTTAATTTTAATAGCCTCCTAGCGATGTATCACTAAAAGTTAGTTTAAATGAAAATCGCTTTTGTGGGAACCTTCTGTATGCGCGAACCTTGTCTTGAGGATTGACAATATCAGTGATGAAAATGGAAAGAAGATCTTTATCATCATCGTCTATTGCATACACAATCGAAAACTTTACTATCAGGCGGCAGCAATTCTTCGGTGATCCAATTTTATAAAAGCATAGCAAAAAATCCGCTATAGTTAAAGTATTATCCATGCATTATCCAGTTCAGTTAGATTTCCAACATACACTTACTGACATGGCTACATCTTTCTATCAAATGTTATAACATGAAGAGAAAAGTATCTAACGAAAAACGGGATTATAATCTCTTCCAACATAAATCACATGCAGGTATTCGCCATATATAAAAGCATGGACCAATTAACACTCGGCCAAGTAACAGATTCGTGAGACCTAGAAGAGTGCTCGCCATTAGATAATTACCAAGCGACTAGAGTGGATTGAAGAAGGACACCATTACTAAAAGTTTCCTCAAAGCTAAATAATTATCGGCAATTATAAGGCTGGTGGTTATAGGCTTTAACAAATATTCAGCCCATGCTTCCCAAGCAAATTTCCACTAAATGACCTCCGAACAAGTGGGCACAGCTACAAGTGAAGTGATAAATGGCTAAAGGCGGGTGAGCCTGCGTCTATAGGAAAGATCGTTAGCGTAGTCAATTGCGAGTGTAAAACGACCCAAAATAAGAATCTTAACATAATTCTCATATTCATTCTTATTTTTATGTTATAAAGGCAAATGAAAGGTTATATAATATAGATTAAAAACTAAGATAGTTTTTATCGGAGGCAAACTACTACGTAAAACTCTAACAGAACCCACCTTGAGTTAAAAATATGTTTGTGACTTAACTCTTGGTTGTAAAACTGGCAAGTTAAATTGTAAAATTAACTAACTTTCACGTTTAAAAGGGTGATAAATCTATATAATTAACTATTCAGTAATAAAAATAATACCAAATTTATCATATTCACAGCACTTCAAATGCCTTGCATTAATTATATCACAAGATTTGGGATGAAATAACAACAAAACACCACCGACAATAAGATATGAAGAAAACTTACGAAATTTAGCACACATTTTGCAGTTTGATTCGTGTGGCCAGTTTACTCGCTCCGACAGTTCTGGAGGTTCACTGACAGGAAGATGCGCTCCTGAGATTGTGAGCATGGATTCTGAACTGGTATTGCCTTGTGTAGGTTTCTTAATAGCATTCGGCCAGACCATACGGACAACTGGACGGGGTGAGGAGCTCGGTAAGGCACCTCTAGCGTCTGATGAGTCCAATGTTTGCCTAGAAAATGGCGGCTGATGCCCTTTGTCTGTGTCTTCAGCGAGACAGAGACTTAGAAAGTTGTCGACCAAAGTATTGGGAGATCTATCCAGAGCACCTTGCGGATTGTCAGGGTTGGTGGGTTGAATAATAGCCGAGCTATTTGATGTTGTGTTGTAAGCAAGCATGGGCCTGTAACAAAGAAAGAATTAGATAATTGAGGTAACATGAAGAGAGTCAATCTTGAAACGATGGAGCAAGCAGAAATCAAATAATTCTTCCATCAGGCATTAGTCTGCTACTTGAAACGCATTGAAGAGAAAGATCATTTTGTATCATCTAATTTTCCATCTCTGGAATTATAAGCAGATTTAAGAGAATAAGATAAATTTAAATTCTATGGCCTAAAATAAGAGTTCCATTAGAAATACTACAAACAAATCGGTCGTCTATTGTTGTAAAACCAGGTCATACGAATTTCACCTAGGCTCCAACGACTGTTTTTACACCATTTTCAAGATTAAAATTCGACGATATTCATTGACAATTAATAGTCTTGGATCAACAAACACCTTTAACTAATTAAAGGAGAGCAGCCTAAACTTAGACTGTAAGGAAGGGAGGGGAAAAAAGGAGAGGGGATACAATATAACAGTTATTATTTGTATGCGGTATAACTAAAAAAGGTAAAAAAGGACCCAGGGAATTGCAATATATTAAATAATTTTGGTGTGTGGAAGTAATAGATATATAGAAAAGCCCAATTACGAAAGTAGCTTAGTTGCAAAGCAAAGAATAGAGTTGCTTTGGGGAACTCTTAGTATTGATATAAGAGGACAAGGGCTAATCCTCAAATCCTCATCTTGAACATCTGAGGACCAGATTGAATATTATTTTAGCACTTTTCACAGAATTGTTTCTAGGCCATCCCTATGCTAAATTTTTGGACGTTGAGGTGATGATTCAGCTCTGTCCAATTGAATTCGCTAATTTTATATTTAATCATGCAAAAACGGCTTAAAACCCGAGGTGGAATAAATCTTCGATAGCAAAGTACAGCATTGAAGATCAATGTAATTACATCAAAAAGCCTATTTAGTTCATTGAGGAAAAATTTGACAAACTGTCTTGAGTAAAATCAACTTAACTTGACTAAAAGAATTTTAAGGAAGATTGTATATAGAATATATGAAGACCAAGATGCTGTGGCCTCTGTTATGGTTGCAGTCGCCTTTCGATTTATACAATTGGGTTGACTTCGTTGTCGCAATTTGGTCTTGCTGTCAAGGCAACTATGTAGAATGCACCTAGTCCGAAGTCGTCTGCCATAGTAGTTGTCATGATTTCCAACATCTGACAGTGGACTTGATACATTTTCAAACGTTTTGCCGGCATCGTAGTCGGCATCATCAACGAGCTTTGCCATTCTCCGCACCAAGCTACGGAGGGGCGGACTTGCCTCTTTGACGAGTTCGTACGATGCCGGCGAAAGGTTTGAAAATGTATCAAGTCCACTGTCAGATGCTGGGAATCATGAAAACTA